GTCATGGTTAAACTCTTATTGTCATAATGTTTTGGAACAGATCCACGCCTGACAGATTATGATACATTGCTTGAAAACATACACGACTTAAAGGCAGGCAATCCTGTTCAGGTTCCAATATATGATTTCAAGACGAGCTCCCGCATAGGGTACAGGTAGTGCATCTCTGCATGATGTGGTAATGCTTTGCCACATAAATAACATGATAGCTTTCATTTTCTTCTGATTCTGTTGTATATTGATGATCATGTGCTTCTAACAGAACAGTAGAGGCCCCTAGCTCCCGTATTGTGATCATTGAGGGCATATATGCTTTAAGTGAGAAATTGCGACCTTTGCTAGATCTTCGTGTATCTATAACTGGTGGAGTTCACTTTGACCTTGTAAAGCGGGTTTTAAGGGACATTCATCGTGCTGGCCAAGAGCCTGAAGAAATTATCCATCAAATTTGTGAAACAGTTACGCCCTTATCCCATGTTAGAAAATTTTCGTTATGAGTACAAAAGATTTATGGTGGTTCTCATCCAGAATTTTGGTACAGGTGTATCCTATGTACAAGGCCTTTATCGAGCCAGACCTTCAGACAGCACATATAAAAATCACCAACAAGTTTAATCCCTTCACTGGTTTTCAGAACCCTACTTATATTTTAAAGGTTGACTACTAAATTTTCTTGTTTTGGTAAAACATTTTCTCCAGTTTGCTTGTTTCAAACAATATGTAATTGCTTACTTTTTTGACTGCTTCACTAAGATTTTTTTTTTACTTATTGCAGTCAACAAAGGAAGTGACAGTGGATCAAATCAAGGCTGTTATATCGGAAGATCACAAAGAAAGAACAGAAGAAACTTATGACATATATCTTTTACCACCAGGTGAAGATCCTGAAGCGTGTCAGTCGTATCTAAGGATGAGGAACAGAGATGGCAAATACAATCTCATGTTTGAGGTTCGACATCTGTAAACTGAAGTTCCTAAAAGATATTATATGCATTTGACTTTATCCTATCAATGTCATTACCTACATGTATTTTGGAGTTGTTTTCATCATTGATCAACAGTAAAAAAATGAATCTACAAAAGGTTTATTTTCAGGATTGCTAAGATAGGAGAAGACATCTCAGACCTCAAAATCATCAGTGTCTTATTTCCCGCTCGTTTTTTTTTTTCACGTATGTGTGAGCTACGATGGATACTAACCCTCTTCTTGGAAGCATTTGATATTTCTTCAACTAAAGCTACTCTTTTCATTTATATCTTTGCCTAAGATTTTACCTACTTGTGGAGTTGAAAATTTTGGGTCATGAGGTGCACCCGTTATTCCTGTGTCCATTGAAATAACAATTTAAATGTGTCTTTCGATTTCAGTCAGGGACCTTGCTGTTTTTCTTAGTGAAATGAATTTCCGATTCTATATATAAATAAGCTTGATATCATCTGGATTACGGATTAAGGAAAAGATTTGAAGATTGTGATGTGGGGATTTTGACAGGAGCACATTCTTACATGGTTGTATTTTAATTACATGGTGTCGCAGGTGAAAATTCGTATTAATTTGTGTGTAGGATTTCTGCTGATATGTGCTTGGTGGTGGATTGTTGCGTCCAAATATCATAGTTTGTTCTTCCAGAGTAGGATCTCTGACTAGTTTTATATCCTCACTCTCAGGAGTGGGTGACAGATAGTCCCTTCATAATATCGCCCAGAATAACTTTTGAAGTTAGCGTACGCCTGCTTGGAGGTCTCATGGCCTTGGGGTATACAATTGCATCCATCTTGAAACGAAGCAGCCATATCTTCTGTGACGACAGGGTTTGCGTGAAAGTTGATTGGTTGGAGCAACTTAATCGTCAATATGTTCAGGTATCATGCCACACATACTTTTTTCAGATTATATTGAAAGTGGTGATACCTATAAATTGATAATTTTTATAATACCTAAAGAATCGGCCTGTGTTGTTCTTCACGTCAGATGTTTATTTCTGGAAACGAAAACAAGACTTGTTGTTTGCTTTAAGTGAATTTTGCAAAGCTTAGCACTAACTTACTGAACTTGCTTGAAGGTGCAAGGAAAGGAGCGGTTGTATGTTAAGGATATTGCACAGAAGCTCGGCCTGGATGGTTCATATGTTCCTCGTACTTACATCGAACAAATTCAGCTGGAGAAACTTGTAAATGATGTTATGGTATGACTCCCTCTCAACTGATCATGCATGGTCATGTTTGTGTGTTGTCCTGATGTGATCAATCTACAGGCCTGGCCAGATGATTTGAAGTCAAAGCTCAGCATAGATGATGATTTCGTTTCGAGCCCTAAGGAAGCACTTTCCCGAGCTTCAGCGGATAGGAGAAACAAGTATCTCAACCGGTAATTTTCATCCTCAGCTGTTCTTTCCGGAATTGAAAGGATAATGAACTATTCAAAGGGACAAGACTATGTCCAATCTAACAAAACTTGCTGTTAACAGTAGAGGTTTGATGGAAGAACCCCGGAATCACCTGCAGCAATTTCGAACCAGGTGAGTTACCCATTTTTTGAATATTCCTGTTAATGGCACATAACTTTGAAATTGTTTTTCACCAATAATTTTAACTTATATTATTTCAGGGAGTTATTACTCAACTTTCAGAACAAGTTTCTACGCTGAATGAGAGGATGGACGAGTTTACATCCCGTGTTGAAGAGGTGAACTCCAAGATCATGCACCAAATAGACAATTTGAGCAATCTTCTGCGGGAGTATACGGCAGAGAGGTTTCGCAAAGGAAGAACAGATGCTATTGGAAGAATGCCTGATATCGAATCAGTTGCACTTGTTCTTGCTTTGGCAATTGGCGGTTTAGGCGTCTTCTTCTTCAGGAGTCTGCTATAAACATGTTTGTATTCCGAATAAGGGCAGCTTGCCTGTGTGATGGAAGGAGGCAAATATAGATTTCTAGGTTTATGCTGGTGTGGTCGGCCAGTGTTGTAAATAGTTGATGTACTGTATACGGGAAGAGGAATTCAAACTTAAGTGCAAAGGACGGAGTCTGGCCAACGCTTGCATACCATAGTTGTACAATAATTCCTCATGGGTCTACAGATACAAGTAAAAGTGTTCCAGATCAGCCAGTTATATCCCTATCTGTTTTACTTGATATCTTGTATTTCATAATTTCAGAACCCCATATCGCTGGCTAACTTGTGATCTCATATCTAAACCAACTCCGCTTAACGTTCAACTTCAGTAGTTACACAAAACAAGCACATTCAAAGGGCCTGTTTTATTAGGTACCATTAACAACACAATGAATTGATTTGCCATCTCAATGGGTGCATGTGTCAAATTTGGTACCATGAACAAATTTATAGACAATATTCTAACTTTATCTTATTTTATCGACGAGTTTATGTTTTAGAGTGCATGCCAACTGGGCCAACCCTCGTTGGCATTTTGCTTTGCTATTTGATCACTAAGGTTGAATTTCGTTCATGCTCACGAGTGGGTCTTGCAATCAAGCTCTCTTTAGCCTGCAGAAAACTTTTGCAAGACACATTAATATACGAGAGCTTTCATGAAAAGGATTGGGCTAAATTTATTTTAACACAAAAATCATGTTATAACTTTATTTAATGAAAAGAATTAAATATTAATGAAAAACTCTTAAATTTTAATAAAAATGACAAAAGAACTTAAATTTTAATGAAAATGACACAATTGTAATATTAAAAAAAAAAAAAAACTGACGAGTTGGACCCGCACGTCCATCACAGACCTTGTTTATGAAACTGAACCGTATTTATGAAACAAAACACTATTTATGAAACTAAACACTATTTATAAAACTGAACAATATTACAGTACTATTTATTGATCTAGTTTCATAATAGAGTCTAGTTCTTGGTTCATTTTCATAAATAATGCCTAGTTCATGATCATGTTTCATAAATAGTGACTAGTTTTCATAAATACTGTATAGTAATTCGTACAGTTTCATAAATATTGTATATTTCTTAGTTCAATTTCATAAATAGTGTCTAGTTATTGATCCACTTTCATATATAGTGCCTAATTCTTGGTCATGTTTCATAAATAATATCTAGTTCTTGGTCCAATTTCAAAAAGAGTTTCCACTCATTGATTTAGTTTTGGAAATGGTGCCTAATTCTTGATTTCGTTTCATAAATAGTATCTACTTATTGGTTCAGTTTCATAAATAGTATCTGCAAAATCGAAAACTAACACAAATTAAATCAATAAAGTCAAATACAAAATATCCATCAAACTAAACACGGATGGTTTCAATTCCATATGTTCTTTTTTATTTATTAGAAAGTTTTAGAATAAATCATAGACGACTTTTGAAATTTGAAGATGGTAACTAGTTATGTCTTCTATGGGCACGTTCATGTTCTTGGGAGACTATGCCAGAGTAAGATGCCGAGTCCCATGACCATGAGGATTCAAAATTGCCATTGCCAACACCTTACTCTTGATCGGAATATTTTTCGTCACCCGGGGTTTCAAATATGAAACTCAAAGTCATTGGTCCATTTCAATCCCAACTCGAAGTCGGCTATAAAAAACAAGGTAGCTTTTTATTTTGCAAAAACCATTTTAGTTAACTATTTTTTTCATTTTATCGTTCTTATTATTAAATAAAAATTTAATATGACTTTTGAATAAAATTCAAAATTTAAATTCATTTTTATTATTTTTTTAATATATTATCAATTTAGAATACTTCCACTATAAAATATAAATAGATAAGTCGGTTTCTACTTTTTGGCCAAGACAGAAAATCACTCATTTATTTTTCACTGAAAATCAGTGGCCCAAAAATAAAGGTAAAAAAGAAACAAGAATCTAATTCCAAACTTGTACAGTCCAAATCAACAGTGGTCGTTTCAGGTCAGTACCTAATCCAACGGCTGTCTTTGTAATTACAAAGTTACACCCGAGTTTATCCATTTTTTTTCTGAGGAATTTTTGCATCAGACTCAGCCAATCGTCGCCATGTGGCGTCAAATTTTTACATAAATATCCATCGGCGCTATCCGACAAGAATTATAGCAGCAAGGTATAAATTTCGGAAACTACCAGAACTCAGAGAAAAATAGTTGCAGCAGGGCTTCTATTTTTCTCTCTTGAAAAAGGTATGAACTCTGATCACTCTGTCTCGATCAAATCTTACATAGTTTTCAGCTTTTTGCGATTTTAATTTCTGGGTTACTGTTCTTTGATAATTTCCTCATCTGGGCAATCTCCAATTTTCGTTTGTATTTTCATCTGGGAGGAGTTCTGAATGCTAATTAATCAATGTTAGTATATTGTTAGTTATTAACTTGATGCTTAAGCATGGACATTTAAGAATTTCCAGGTTTACAGTTTTGCAATTTTATTACTTGTTTGATTCTGTTCTATTTCTCTCTTGAAGAATGTTGATCACCCTGACTCGATCAAAATTTCGAAGTTTCCAAATTTATGCTATTTTAATTTTTTGACAATTTATTCACGGGGGAAATCTGCATTTTTTATCTTGATTTTGATTTCGTTTTTGCGTTTCTGTAATTTTGGCTGCTGGGAAGGATTTCTTGAATGCTAATTTATCAATGGATTGTTAATTATTAACATAATGTTCAACTATGTACATTTATGAATTTCCGTGTTCAAAATTCTGCAATTTCAGAATTAAATGTTGCTTTTGCTATTTGTTGAATCGTGCAGTGTGTAGGAAATAACAGAGATTTGGAGCTCTAAATGGCTCCAGATACAAGTTCTGGCGCTGAATCGCCGCGGCCACGTTCTGGTCTGTTGCGGGATCAGGTTCAGCTTGTGAAAAGAAAGGACTGTGATCGATACGAGATTGTCCAAATTCCAGATGTCCTGTCATTTGAGAAAGGTTTCTTTATAGTAATTCGGGCGTGTCAGCAGTTGGCTCAAAAGAATGAGGGGATAATACTAGTTGGAGTGGCAGGCCCTTCTGGAGCTGGTAAAACTGTTTTCACTGAGAAAGTGCTCAACTTCATGCCCAGCATTGCTGTTATTACAATGGACAACTACAATGACGCTAGTCGAATCATCGATGGAAACTATGATGGTAAGAATCTCATTTTTGAGTCCATCAGACATCTGTTTGATTTGATCCTTATAAACTAACAACTCCATTTTGTATCAAAATTTCACATATTTTCAATGATTATTCTTTGTTGGTCATTGTGTTCTTTACTTTGTTTCCAAGATTGCTCACTTCCTTGTTTATAGTTTTCCTGAAAGGTTAGTACTTCTGCTGTCTTCCTTGGTTGTCATCTCTGAATCCTTTTGTTCGATTATTGATCATTGAATAAGTGATTTCACATCTGAGAGTCATGGTTGAACTCTTGTTGTTGTAATGTTTTGGAACAGATCCACGCCTGACAGATTACGATACATTGCTTGAAAACATACATGACTTAAAGGCAGGCAATCCTGTTCAGGTTCCAATATATGATTTCAAGACGAGCTCCTGCATAGGGTACAGGTAGTGCATCTCTGCATGATGTGAAAATGCTTTGCCACATACATAACATGATAGCTTTCATTTTCTTCTGATTCTGTTGTATATTGATGATCATTCTGGTGCTTCTAACAGAACAGTAGAGGCCCCTAGCTCCCGTATTGTGATCATTGAGGGCATATATGCTTTAAGTGAGAAATTGCGACCTTTGCTAGATCTTCGTGTATCTATTACTGGTGGAGTTCACTTTGACCTTGTAAAGCGGGTTTTAAGGGACATTCAACGTGCTGGCCAACAGCCTGAAGAAATTATCCATCAAATTTCTGAAACGGTTGCCCCTTTATCCTGTGTTAGAAAATTTTCGTTATGAGTACAAAAGATTTATGGTGGTTCTCATCCAGAATTTTTGGCACAGGTGTATCCTATGTACAAGGCCTTTATTGAGCCAGATCTTCAGACAGCACATATAAAAATCACCAACAAGTTTAATCCCTTCGCTGGTTTTCAGAACCCTAGTTATATTTTAAAGGTTGACTACTAAATTTTCTTGTTTTAGCAAAACATTTTCTCCAGTTTGCTTGTTTCAAACAATGTGTAATTGCGTACTTTTTTGACTGCTTCACTGAGATTTTTTTTTTTTTTTTTTTTTACTTATCGCAGTCAACAAAGGAAGTGACAGTGGATCAAATCAAGGCCGTTATATCGGAAGATCACAAAGAAAGAACAGAAGAAACTTATGACATATATCTTTTACCACCAGGTGAAGATCCTGAAGCGTGTCAGTCGTATCTAAGGATGAGGAACAGAGATGGCAAATACAATCTCATGTTTGAGGTTTGACATCTGTAAACTGAAGTTCTTAAATGATATATACAATTTGATTTTATCCTTCCGGTGTTATTGCCTACATATTTATCGGAGTTGTTTTCATCATTGATCAATGGCAAAGAAATGAATCTACAAAGGTTTATCTTCAGGATTGCTTAGATATGAGAAGACATCTCAGACCTCAAAATCTTCATTAATGTGATCCTGTTTCCCACTTGTTTTCTTTTCACGAATGTGTGAGCTACAACGCATACTAACCCTCTTCTTGGAAGCATTTGATATTTCTTCACCCAAAGCTACCCTTTTCATTTATTTCTTTCCCTAAGATTTTACCTACTTGTGGAGTTGAAAAGTTTGGGTCATGAGGTGCACCCGTTATTCCTTTGTCCATTGCAATAACAATTTAAATGTGTCTTTCCATTTCAGTCAGGACCCTTGCTGTTTTTCTTAGTGAAATGAAATTCTGATTCTATATATAAATAAGCATGATTTCATCTGGATTACGGATTAAGAAAAAGTTTTGAAGATTGTGACATGGGGATTTTGATGGGAGCACATTCTTACATGGTTGTATTTTAATTACATGGTGTTGCAGGTGAAAATTCGTATTATTTTGTGTATAGGATTCTGCTGATAAGTGCTTGGTGGTGGATTGTTGCGTCCAAATATCATAGTTTGTTCTTCCGGAGTAGGATCTCTGACTAGCTTTATCTCCTCTCTCTCAGGAGTGGGTTACAGATAGTCCCTTCATAATATCGCCCAGAATAACTTTTGAAGTTAGCGTACGCCTGCTTGGAGGTCTCATGGCCTTGGGGTATACAATTGCATCCATCTTGAAACGAAGCAGCCATATCTTCTGTGACGACAAGGTTTGCGTGAAAACTGATTGGTTGGAGCAACTTAATCGTCAATATGTTCAGGTATCATGCCACACATACTTTTTTCAGATTATATTGAAATTGGTGATTCCTATTTGTTTTTCAAACTATAAATTGATAATTTTTAAAATACCTAAAGAATCGGCCTGTGCTGTTCTTCATGTCAGATGTTCATTTCTGGAAACGAAAACAAGACTTGTTTGCTTTTAGGTGAATTTTGCAAAGCTTAGCACTAACTTACTGAACTTGCTTGAAGGTGCAAGGAAAGGATCGGTCATATGTTAAAGATATTGCACAAAAGCTCGGCCTGGATGGTTCATATGTTCCTCGTACTTACATCGAACAAATTCAGCTGGAGAAACTTGTAAATGATGTTATGGTATGACTCGCTCTCAATTGATCATGCATTGTCATGTTTGTGTGTTGTCCTGATGTGATCAATCTACAGGCCTTGCCAGATGATTTGAAGTCAAAGCTCAGCATAGATGATGATTTTGTTTCGAGCCCTAAGGAAGCACTTTCCCGAGCTTCTGCAGATAGGAGAAACAAGTATCTCAACCGGTAATTTTCATTCTCCACGGTTCTTTCCGGAATTGAAAGGATAATGAACTATCATCCATCCAATCATGCTTGTATGTACTGATTGGTTTCTTTAACATCATATTTCACTGGGCAGCGGTATATCACAGTCTTACTCAAATCAAAGGGACAAGACTTTGTCCAAGCTAACAAAACTTGCTGTTAACAGTAGAAGGTTTGATGGAAGAAACCCGGAATCACCTGCAGCAATTTCGAACCAGGTGAGGTACCCATTTTTCGAATATTCCTGTTGATGGCACATAACTAAGTAATTGTTTCACCAACAATTATGCGTTGGATTATTTCAGGGAGTTATTACTCAACTTTCAGAACAAATTTCTACGCTGAATGAGAGGATGGATGAGTTTACATCCCGCGTTGAAGAGGTGAACTCCAAGATACCACTCAGAAGAGTTTCAGCAAGCCAGCAAAATTTGGCTCTACCGGCCGAAGCCTGCAATGGATCCGGACCAACTTCTCTTTTTGTTACTAGCTTGAGTAATGGCTCGTTGGGAGGAGCGCTACTGCCCAATTCTTCGTCGTCCTCACAGTTGGTCAAGGATTCACCACTGATGGAAGAGGTATTTAAAATACACTTGTGGTGACATATTGATCTATCCTCTGTTCTCTTTCCTTCTGTTTGCATATTTGGTTACTTGGTGCACACTCAACAGATACTAGCCATAACACGAGGTCAACGGCAGATCATGCACCAAATAGACAATTTGAACAATCTTCTGCGGGAGTATACGGCAGAGAGGTTTCGCCAAGGAAGAACAGATACTACTGGAAGAATGCCTGATATCGAATCAGTTGTCCCACTTGTTCTTGCTTTGGCAATTGGCGGTTTAGGTGTCTTCTTCTTCAGGAGTCTGACTTCCCCAAAATAATTATGTCAAGCAGCTAACTTTCGGCGTAGAATCTGCTATAAACATGTTTGTATAAACCCATGCTGTATTCCAAATAAGGGTAGCTTGCCTGTGTGATGGAAGGAGGCAAATATAGTTTCTAGGTTTATGCTGGCGTGGCGTGGTCGGCCAATGTTGAAAATAGTTGGTATACTGTATACAGGAAGAGGGATTCAAACTTGATTGCAACGGGCGGGGGACAACGGTCTGGCCAACGATTGCATACCATAGTTGTACAATAACTTTTGATGGGTTTACAAATACAAGTAAAAGTGTTCCAGCCGTTTATATCCCTTTCTGTTTTGCTTGATATCTTGTATTCTGCATAGAAATGGAAGATCTGGCAATTCATAATTTCATTTGGTTCTTAGATTTCGACTTTTAATCCAAGCATTTGGACGCACACGGTCGAAGTTAAGTTAATTCATCCAAGTGTTAGCTCCAAAAGGAGTTTAATTTATCAGGGGCAGGTCAAATGTATATAACAAATGCAGAATATATAAGAACAGAATAACTCAGAACCTGTATCGCCGGCTAAATTATGATCTCATATCTAATCCAACTCCGCTTAACGTTCAACTTCAGTAGTTACACAAAACAAGCACATTCTAAAATTTTCTAAAACGAAGTACAACGGCAGGCATTCAGAGGCCACAAAAAGAAAAAACCTCAAATAAGATGGTACAAGAGCAAGTTTTTTCCCAGCCTTCAAAAAAGGTTGGCGTGAAGTTCTTTGACCTCTCCTACAACCTTCGTCGTAATTTTCCTTTATTTTATCTTCATCCTCTTGGGAGAGTGCCCCCTTGTTAGGCTTGGTTGTCACCAGGACACAGCAAGTTGGCCTCTTGGTGGCACCGGCATTTGCAAGATCCTGAAGACGAGATTCACAATACTAGCATTAGAGCGTTTTTTATCAATGAACCCGATAGGTGATAACGTTAATGAATGCTCAGATATTGCATAATATAATGTACAATGTGCAATGAATTGATAAGGTAAATTTCCAAAACTATAAGGAACAGAAAGGACATGTTGAATGATATGGTGAAGAAAGATAGTGTTGCGTAAACTTACTTCTTTTGAAGGCACGTAAACATATGGAATTTCAGCCTCTTCACATAAGATTGGAACATGAGTGATCACATCAATAGGCGAAATGTTCCCAGCTATAACACAAAACCTGCACTCCAGCACACGGTATACAAAACATCATTAAAACATTCATAAGAGTAACTTGAGCGCAGTCGATATGCTAAGCCGCTTATACCTCTAGGAACTAATAAACTAATGACCGCATTTGAGCAACCATCTATGATCCAACAAATGCATAGAAAACTAGAGCTAGCAGATGAAGCCGAATTTCTGCAACAGATAAATACATTGATTGCGCGATATCTACAGTACAAAGATTTCCAATTAAGTTCCTACTCTCCCAATAAGTCTACTCCAAAACACTTCCCTCAATACTCATAATGTAGCCTTCTAAATCACATTAAAATTGGATAAGTCGACCGCAATGCCTTACTAAACCATATTTCTGCACTCCATTTTAAGTGAAGAAATGCAAACGAAAACCTCAAATCTACTAACAAAGTTGCGTCCTTTCCAATTCAATCTCCTAACAAAGGTGCGTCCTTTCCAATTCAATACAGTTTTTCAACAATAAAATCGATTTCCCAATACAAATTAGCAAAGTAAAAAGATAAAATCGATATAAAAAAAAAAAAAAACTGACCCCTTTTGGCCACGCCTTATGCTTTTCACCACTTCCTTCACTCCCCTCTTCAAGCATTTGTGCTCAGCAGCTACAGGAAAAACAACAATATCATCAAACTTTCAACCATATGCAAAATATCTATATACACATTATATACATGCATATATTCATACACATTTATACAGGCATTATTATACGTATATCCGTATGTATGTATGCGTGTATACCTTTACGGACGAGCTTGAGTGTTCGTTTGCAGAGCTTCTTTCCGGCGAGCGGTTTGGCTACCGGAGCGAGAGCCTGCAGCTTCTTCTTCTCCCTCTCCTTCTGCGCTGACTTCTCTACTTCGCTATCGCTTCCCATCTCTCTCTCCTCCTCTCTTTTTTTCTCTGAAGATTTCTGGAGACTGGGATTTTTCACTCTCTTCCGAGTCTCGCAGAAACGCCAATGGAGATTAGGGTTTTATTCATTTTATTGCAAGGGTTTAAGGAATTATGGGCCTCGGCGTGGCCTTGAACAATGGACATATTTGGGCCGTAACCCAATAGAGGCACCTAGAAGGCCCAAATTTTGGCCCAATATAAATAATCCAGTAGGCCCAAAGAAAAAGAAAAACAGGCATATCATCGGAAAAGTCCGTAGCTTAGGGTTTTGCGTATCTCTCTTGTGCTGGCAGTCTCTGCGTAAGAGCCATCATCGGAGAGAGACTCAGAGTCCTCAAACGTCCGCCATGCCTACCGTCGGCGTTGGCCGCGATCGTCTGTATGCAGCTCTAGGAAAAACATACAGTGAGCTCTCTCTCTCTCTCTCTCCATTTAATCGATGCATTTACCTGTGAATTCCGAAATTCACACTTTCTCTCTGCGGTGTTGAATTTGAATCTGACAGCTCAGGAGGAGTTCGAGGAGTTATGCTTCGACTTCGGCATCGAGCTCGATGACGTTGTAAGCAGTTTTTACAGTCCTCTAATCTTTGTTTAATTTAATTTAATTTTTGCTTAATTTATCTGATTTATCGTGATTATTGTGTGTTTGTAGACAACTGAGAAAGCAATTATTCGGAAAGAGAAACATTTGGATGATGAAGGCGGCAAAGGCGACGAAGACGAAGAAGTTATCTACAAAATCGAAGTTCCGGCGAATAGGTACGTTGTTATTTTTCGATTTCTTTTTCTGTGTTGAATTACGAGTTTACTAATGTTTGTTTGATTTGAAACTAGAATTTACTTAATCGGATTGGTTTTGTGAATTGATGTCTTATCATACTCCATGGGTTTTAGTACAATGTTGTTGTTTGATTTGTATGTAGATACGATTTGCTTTGCCTCGAAGGGATTGCTCAATCGCTGCGTGTTTTCAATGGGCAAGAGGACATTCCAACGTATAAGTTGGCGAACATTAGTAAGGAGTCGATGATTAAAATGCATGTGAAATCAGAGGTAACTATATTACGCGAAAGGCATATTGTAGGTGGTTTTAGTTGATGGTGATATTGGTGAGCTTACAAAGGCGTCTATCTGCTTGCAGACTTCTTCCATTCGCCCCTTTGTTGTCTGTGCTGTTTTAAGAGGTGTAACATTTGATGAAGCGAGTTATAACAGCTTCATTGATCTCCAAGACAAGCTCCATCAAAATATCTGCCGGTAATCTTTTCTGACTTATAGATTTGATTCTGCCGGTAATCTATTCTGACTCATAGATTTGATTTTTGATTTAGTTTGGCATGTTCTCATTTGCGCCAATCTCATTTGTATTATGTTCCACGCCTATCTCTTGGACTAGGCCAATCCATCTGATCTTAAGGACCCTTTGATGAATCCTTGTTTCTTTTCTCGTCTTGCTATGCTGTATTGGAGCGGCTTAGGATATAAATCACTTCAAGTTTATCATAGAAACGGATGACTCAGTTTAAACTAGATTAAGATAAGAGTATAAAACATCAGAGTATTTCATTAATTAATTTAAATGCTTGAAGGGTAGGAATAGCAAGACAAATCAGACTGAATGCATCAACTTACGATAAGAGCTAATGCTGGTCATTTGTCCAAAGATCGTCCGTGGTTTTTCAGCTCTAGTGTTTACACCTGTTGTCTATTTTACAGGCGAAGAACCCTAGTTGCCATTGGGACTCATGACTTGGACACATTACAAGCCCCTTTCACATATGAAGTGAGCTTTTGAAACTTGTTCACTTTGCTACATTATTATATTCTGGATTTCTTTTATGAAGGTTCATTTGGTTTTGGATTTTATTGTAAAATTATGGTAATGGTTTAGATTCTTTATTGAAACTTATGGTTCTTGGAATGAAAAGTAGAAATTTCTGTCTTAAGCAAAGATTTCTTGGTACAAGCATGCATTTCAATGAAAGTATTTTCATGTTCTTCTTTGATTGTTAATTGTACTTTTTCACGTACACAATCCAATACTACTTGTGGCTTACAATTCTCTTTCCATGTTCAGGCTTTGCGACCTTCAAGCATAAATTTTGTGCCTTTGAAACAGGTAATTCTTTAAATTTTATGCTATTGTCAATTAGTTGTAAATTTAGTAATAAATCTGATTCTTTAAATAGTTTGTTAGCACTAATATCATGTTGTTTTGATTTGTACATTAGGTGAAGAACTTCAGAGCAGATGAGCTCATGGAATTTTATAAAGTGAGTTCCTCACTGGGTGGTTCTTAATTTTATCTTCTTTTTCCCCTTTTTGGGGATGGGTTATAGTTTGTCCAAACCAAACAACAAATAGAATTTTAGAAACCATTTCCATAGTAGCTAATTTGCACAAATCTTTTCCATAACTTCCTTTTTACTATGACCTAGTAATATCGTGATCCATGTTTTTACCATTGTATTCTCGCAGTCGGATTTGAAGCTGAAAAAGTTCTTGCACATAATAGAGAACTCGCCTGTGTTTCCTGTTTTATATGATCACAAAAGGTATGATAATTTCTTTCTCATACATCGATTATTTTGACATTTCTCATCATCTTTTAACTACCTCCTCCCCTTTTCCTAGTATTGTAAAGAGCTTAACTTTGTTGGGATTTTTTCAATGACTGCTTGTGTAACATAGTGTTGGTAACTATATATATGGCTTTGTATTTCTTTAAATCTTGATAAGTGATATTCCGTTTATTTTGGCAGAACTGTTTTGTCTTTACCACCCATTATTAATGGTGCACATTCAGCAATCACATTAAAGACAAAGAATGTTTTCGTAGAATGTACAGCCACTGATTTGACAAAGGCCAAGATTGTTCTGAACACAATAGTAAGAACCTGAAATTATAACGCATTTGTTTCCTAGTTTTTGGTTCACGTGTCAGTGGACGATGGCATAACCTTTTTCCTTTAGGTAACGGCATTTTCAGCATATTGCGAAAGGAAATTTGAGATTGAACCAGTTGAAGTGTTATATTCTGATGGAAGCTCACATGTTTATCCTGATTTATCCATCTACAACATGGATGTTTCTCTATCTTATGTCAATAGTTATGCTGGAGTATCTTTGGAAGCAAAAGAGGTATATCAATAACCGCATGTTACTTTTTCCATTTTCATTCTTTAATATTGCTTACTGCATCCAATAATGTTTTTATTTGCGTAATCATATGTTGCAGGAATAATGCTGTTTTCAGAAGTATAGCAGATTTAGTTGATATACTGCATCCTTTTGCTTTTCTCATCATTCTTTATTATTGTGTAGGTTACTGGTCTGTTGAAGAGGATGCAATTGCATGCTGAGCAATCTAAATCTGACAATATTACTGTATCTGTACCTCCAACCAGAAGTGACATTCTTCACCCTTGTGATGTTGTGGAGGTATAATTAGTCATGGCGATCTCACTGGCTTAATAAACCAAACTCTTTTCCCCTTTTTTCTTGACAAAGTACTCTTTTGTGTTTAGGATGTTGCAATTGCATATGGATTCAATAATATTCCAATGAGAAAGCATATTCCAACGAGCGAGCCTGTTTCTTTGAAGCCACTAGCCTTGAATGAGTTCACTGAACTCATCAGATCGGAGGTTTGTAATAAAGATTTGTCAGTTGATACATAACAGTTTTAAGTTGTACCTTATACTTAATTGAAGTGTGGCTTATTCTAATTTCTTTTGTGTTGCTTCAAACTTGTGTTAGATTGCAATGAATGGGTTTACAGAGGTCTTGACATTCATATTGGGCTCGTGGAAAGAAAACTTCCCAATGTTAAGATGTAAAGATGACAAATCGAAGGCTGTGGTCATTGGTAATCCCCGCTCATCTGATTGTGAGCTTGTCAGAACGAGTCTGATGCCTGGCATTTTGAAAACTGTTAATAACAACAAAGATCATCCGAAGCCCATAAAGGTATATGTGTTACAAAGTTATCTTCTACAATATATTTTCTCTTCTGGGGTTGCACTTTTTTTCCCTTTTCTGATAAGTTATTGAAGGAATTATAGCAAGGATGGATATAACTCACATTACATTGTAACTTTTCATTTATTTATTTATTTTGTTATAGATTTTCGAAGTGGGTGATATAGTACTATTGGATGAGAAGACAGATGTTGGTGCAAGAAATCGTTGCCAACTAGCAGCTCTGTACTGCGGTGCTACGTCTGGGTTAGAGGTACAATACTGAACATCCTGGCGCATACTGTTGGTTTGTCCTACTTTACGAGTAATAATTACATATTGCTTACCTTTGCTTTCTGATCTGCAGTTGATACATGGCCTGGTGGACAGAATTATGGAAGCGGTTGGGGCTTCTTTTGTTCCTCTTGGTGACAATACAGGATACTTCATTGAGACTTCAGATGTGAGTATATCTTTTACTTTTGTCTTTTGCTAGCTCTTTTGGGTTGGTATGGATGAGTTACATGTAATTTTGACATGTCCTGAAGGATCCCGAGTTTCTTCTGGGGAGACAAGCGAGCATCATCTATAAAGGAAAGCGCATTGGAGTTTTTGGCATTTTACATCCTGAGGTACATATCGGAACTTAATTTGTTGACAAGGCTATAGCTACGGGATTAGATTCTGTACTATATGTATAAACTTTCCCCATTCCTGCTTGAGTTAATCGCGATTGATAGTCGATTTCTACTACCTTAATTGTGTATTTTTGTGTCTTTTCAGGTGTTAAACAACTTTGACATTCCTGATCCGTGCTCCTATGTAGAACTTAACGTTGAGAGCTTGTTGTAGTTCTCTATAACAACAAATGTAAGATTCGTCTTTCATTCTTCGCATAGGTTTGTACTTTTTTAAATTAAGATCTTCCTCTCTTCTTCTCTTGCATTGCATGCACATCTGCTTTGCCGAGCTCATTTTCGTAACTCTTGTTTTTGGTAAAATTGCAGGTACATTTGTCTGGCACCTAGTTGCAGCTGACTACTGTAAAAGAGGTGGTCATTCTTCTGCACGAAGGATTTAATACAAATGCAGGTACATTTATCTAAAAACAAAGATGCATTCATAGTTTCATACAAGCTACTATTTGTTGCCAAACCGTAACGTCGAGTAGAAGTCTCTTATTCTCCCTTTAACTTTTGGGTACGGATGGCTACTGGTTTTGCATCATCGTGTTTTTATTTCGGTTTACCATCAAATTTTTCGGGTGACTCTGCCGAGTGCAGTTGTGTACTGAATGTTAAAGAGAGTTTGAAGCTTATCATTTATTTAAATTATTTTACACGTATTTTTCATCCTCTTTTATTTACGGTAACTTTAACGAAAAGCTCTCGATACTATTTATTTGTAGTTCGCCGATTCCGGATTTTTGTTTATCAAACCGGATCGGATGGCTGCAGAAATCAACGGGAATAAGGAAGTTTGGGGATGCATCCGATAAGAATTGCTAGAGTTTTATCTGGTCGGACAAATATTGAGTTTCATAAAATGGTGGAGAGCCTACTACATTGCTGCAGCCTTTTCTTTCCATCGATGTTTTTTTACCGAGTTTTTCATTTAATCAGAACGGTGTCTCGTCGAGAATATTAAGAAGAATACTTTAACGAAAAGCTTTTGATACTGTTCGCTTTAATGAAAAATTATATTTTTATACTAAAATGTCAATTATAATACTATTCATTTTACCTTTTATTTTATATTTATTGTTAAAATTCGAAGTTTTCAAGTTCTTGTCATTAGTTTTCCTTATTAAAAAGCTTACAATGGGTCAAAAGTACCTTCTAAAATGGCTTTGTGGTGGTTTTGTAAATTCACGCAAAATCAATTGACAAATCGTGGGTTATAGCTCACAGTTTGTGTAAATTTCAAATCCGTCGAGAAACCTACAAAAATAGGCATGAAGCTCACATGTTTTTCATATGAGCTATAAACGCTTCAAGATCTTCCAACTTAGCATTGCAGAAGCCTGCAAAACAGAGTATAACGTTACAAAATATGGAACTCCAACGCCCTAAAACGAAGTTCGACTTGCAAGGTCACTAGTTAAAGACGAAGATACTCCGTAGCTATTACCTCTGCGAATTTCCATCACAGACGGGTCTCTGTGCTCGTTGTTAATCCAACCGATCTTAAGGCCTTCGGATTCTTCCGTCTTTTCGGTCTGCAGCTTGCCCACTTTCATCCGAAGTTCTGATGCTGTTTTCACCATCTCTGCATCAACCCGTAATCTACTAAACCTTTCATCTTTACAATGCTTCAAACCGTAGCTCGAGATACAAACTTTGAATGACTAAATGCATGTATTTTCCTAGCACATTACTAAATGCAGATTTGTCTGCAAAACATATATAAATGTGGAGCGACGAAAGAAAGGAATAAGTTGTAATGCGGGCACTATCGGCGACCTAGCAACTAGAAGTTCAAATTTCCAGGACAGAGTACTAATGTTGGCGTTAAGTGGGGTCGGCTGTATAAATCTTAGAAAACCATCGCGCTCAGTTTTGTGCCAAGTCTTCCATTATATTGTACAAACATGTAAACATAGTAACTTCGTTGAAGGTTTCAGACACAGGACGGGGAGAAAAACATAGGGAAATATGTAAATCCATGTTTCCTAATATCATGAGTTAAAAATGGGTGCTAAAGAAAAGTAAATTTTTGCATATTTGGAGGAAGTATTTAGTTACTTACCCTGGAACATCTCATGGTAAGAGTTTAGGTCATATTGTTGCAAGGTCGCATTGACAAGCGCAGAACAACGATCTCTGGAAGCAGACTGTCCTCTAACGATTGGATCTCTCGATTCAGCGCAGCATTCTCCTTACCAACCTGCGCACGTATTCCATCAAAGATATGTCAATCAGGACGTCAAGGAGTTCACAATTTCATGCCGACAAGATATATTCTTGCAACTTTATTATCGTATTTACCTCAGTAAGTTCATTCCTCAACAAATCCAGCTCGGCATCCAGGTCTGCGTCAACGATTGCATTTTGACATAAAGAAGCGTCGACAGGTGGTTCATCCTAGAAAATAACTTTCTTTAGACAACAAATTGTACAACTTTACAGAACGGAACAATCGGAGTGTGGATAAAAACATAACTGAAAGCATCAATAAACTGAAAAGAACGTACATCCTTGGCCGGGTCGAACCCCTCTGGAACTTGAAAAACGTAGTCAAGGCAGCACTGCTCCCAGACGGCCAGCTTCTTATCAAGATCTGATTGAACCTTTTTGCGGATGATATCAACACCCTACAGAGGAATAAACGAACAAATAAACAAACAAGTAAACCCCACAGGGGATTATCGAAAAAGATTGCATCTTCTTACTAAGTTCGAATACAAAGATTATAATCCTCAATCAATTTCCTTTTGGAGGGCAAGCCTTGGCGCAATGGAAAAATTGCTACTTTGTCACTCAAAGGTCACGGGTTCAAGTTTCTTTTGTGATCCTCAATCAATTTTCTTTTGTTCTAAAATAATCAAATGTGTTGACAAATACTCTCACTCAAACAAAACAAAGCAAAGAAGTTCATAGAATTTGTGAAAGGAGAAACCTTGGAATGAAGAGTAGAAATTAGAATTATACCCTGGATATATCTTGGGCTTTCTCAGAGCCCTCAGTTTTCAGAAAGGTTGATGCTTGTCTGAAAAAAAAACCCAGAAAATTTTTAATAAATTACAGAAATTCAAATCTAATAAGAAAATTAATCACAACAAATAATAATTATGATCATTGGAAAGAGATTTACTTGTGGAAATGATCGAAAGCGTCGTCGACCAAGTCATCAGCGACGTTTAAGACGTCGTTGATGAACAGCTGCGGATTCGGATTCAGCGAATTGAAAGCTGCCTCGCTTTTACTGCCTTCCATTCTCGACACACGCAAGCTCTATGCACAGAAATACTTGCAATCACTACACAGAACAGCTCGATTTCCTGATTCGCACTAGGGATTTTCCCGCGCAAAATGTCTGAAATGGCGGAGGAGAGCGGGAAGGGAAGGGCTTGATTTCGAAATATGAAAAATAATAGCAGAATTCGATACAGCGAGCCGTATTATACACACGTGTACTCGTCTTGCCACGTCAGTAATTCTAAAATACACTGGGTCTCTTTGGATAAATTTTTTCCTAATCTCTATGTGTGGGGATCCGCGAATAGAGAGATTAAGACTGTTTAATTTTAATTAAACAGCCTCCAATTAGTTTATTGTACAAAAATTTAAAATCTTGAACGGTTTAGATCTCTTTGTTTCTCTTAAATGGTTTGGATGTCTCGATTTTTGAATTACAGACATAAAATTTGGAGTGGATCTCTATCCTCGGGTACACAAGAAAGCTAGTGTTCTTCACAAATAGGCACCTGAGAGCTGGCTAATTTATTTATTATATTACACACACTGGCAATGTGTTACTATCTTGCTTTTTATGAGAAATTTTTTTTTAGTGTGCCGGAAATACAGTTTAGTTCACCAACAACGGAATACCAAATTTAACTTGAGAGCAACTCGACTCACTGGAACAAAAAGACGGAGATAGATTCTCTCCGAATCTCTTTCACCTAATCTTTCTCATCAAACAATCCAGACTTTTGAAATTTGATCCAACGACTAAAGTTATTATAACTTTTAAAATGGGCTCATGTTTTTAACCGTTTGAACAAATTTTAAAAGTCCGAATTGTTTGATGAGAAGGATTAAGTGGAAATGATCCGGAGATGATTCTTTCCGCAAAAGACCCCTACAATTTGTACATTCCGCAACACAAACTTTTCTCGCTCCCAAATTTTTCTGTAATTCGTGAGTTGCCACAGAATGTTTCCAAAATTTCAGAAAGCTACATGTTAGATCCGGACGTTTTTACAGAAACGGACCCAATTTACTGCGTTTCGAAGCCACACAAGCATGACGAGGAAGAGCTCGAAAGTTCAGGCTCTCTACGAGCTCTGCCAAACGGTATTCACGCCGTCAGGGTGTCCTCCCCCTTCTTCTCCGGCTATCAATAAGCTCCGTTCTGTCCTCGGTACCTTCTCATAAGTTCTTCTTTTTCAAATTTTAATTAAATTGTTCATCTGATACGTAATTTATTAAAAGTTTGGAACTTTGAAATTGGGTTTGCTTGTTTTGGTGGTGTAATTGAAGAATTGAGTAATATATTTTGTGGGGTTTTGGTGAATTGTAAGAATATATAGAATTTTTCACTAATTACAGTCCAAAGTAACCTTTTTTCAGAATTAACCGAGTTTACCTCATGATGGAGGAATGCCCTGCATTGAATCTGATATATAATTTAGCAGTGAGAATTTGCCTGCAAAGCATGTTTGTGTGATATAATGCGTGCATTGTTGGTCTTGGAAGTGCGATTTCAGCTCTAAAAGAAAGATTTTAAATCCAAAGTGCTAACTTTGTTGCTGGATTGCTTATCGGGGTGAAATCCGGTTGGATCAAGAATCGCATTTCTTTCGTCTTCTCGCCATTTGCAGCGAAGATGCAATTGTTCTTCCTTTTTTTGATGATATAGACTTGGTTGATAGGGCTTTGTTGCTTATTGATACTTGAGACCGACGCTACCACTGATATAGATTTGCAAGGACCGGTGTATGTGGAACAGGAAGCAGCTCCGTTTAGTTTACATAAGGAATGTGGAATGTCTCATTGGTTAATTAATTGACAATAATGTCTTTGCTTTTGTCTTTTGTTGTTGCATACGTTATGTTGATAAATACGTGTCTTTTATGCACATTAGTCGGATTCCTGCTTAAAACACGCATGAAGCCGAAAGATCTTGAGGCCTAACTCTTAGGTGATGACAGTTTCAGTTCCTTCATAACAAATAGAAGATCAGGATACTCAATGTCTCCAATATAATTCACCGTTCCTATACGTTATGGATACACCATATGATAGTATTTGTCTTAATTTTCTGATATTCTTTTGAATTCACAGATGCGATGTCTCCTACTGATGTTGGGCTTAAAGAGGAAAATCAGGATGATGATCGAGGGCTTGGTTTTGTTGGACTTGACCAACTAAAAAGAGTTTTTCGGTGGGCTCAACCAATAACGTACTTGGATATGTATGAAGGTGACAGTTTTACGGTAAGCATATTAAGTTACCATTCGATAAGGAATTTTGGTTCTTCGTTATATTCAAAGCTCTCTGAAGTTTATACTCTCACTTTGAGCAAATGATTTTATGCAGATGTGTATATTCTGTTTTCCTACTTCCTCAGTTATTCCGCTTCATGACCATCCTGGAATGACTGTTTTTAGCAAAGTTCTTTATGGCTCTTTGCATGTGAGATCTTATGATTGGGTTGAGCCTGCCCAGGAGATCAAGGGACCAAATTACTTTCCAGGTCTGCTTTTTCATGTAATATTCAGTACGTACTTACAATGATGATTATCAATATACATTGAGCATGTCGAATGATGAGAGTTTCTACTGTCGTTTCTGATTGTCCTTTATTTGTTAAGAAAATATAGTAGACAGTGAGCATGGCGAATGATCTGAGTTTCTAGGGTTACAAATGGCGGTTGTAGTGATTTCAAGAAGCTAGGTTTCATGCGAGATATACAACTGTATGCGATGCTCATGATTTTCATACTTCAAGGGCTTAAATACGGGAGAACTAATGAGATTATGAAATTGCTCTCCAATGTAGTAAGATTGGCGAAGCTGGCAGTTGACAAGGTTTTAACAGCACCATGTGGGACATCAGTTTTGTATCCAAGGAGTGGGGGCAATCTGCATAATTTCACGGCGGTCACTCCTTGTGCTGTTCTTGACATTCTCACTCCTCCTTACAGAGAAGATGCAGGCAGAAAATGTACCTACTACCGTGACTACCCGTATACTACCTTTGGTAAGTAACTTTGATTTCTACTTAGGGTTTTCTTTCCTTCGTGAACTTAATCCGCATGAATAGAAAAACTGATGAGTTTAGCGGTCTGCTGAAAACTGCAGCTACAGAAAACGGAATTAAAATAAAGGATGGTAGAGAAGAGGACTATGCATGGTTTGCTGAGACAGAACCAGATAATCTTTATATGCGCTTGGGAAATTACACAGGGCCGTCTATTCAGGTTTAACTCTTACCCGTATCATTAGTGATGATCACTAAACGAGCTCATGCTTCTTGTTGTGTTTGGTTTGGCTTAGGCATTCCATTGCGGTTGGCCACAGAAGGCTAACAACGAGGTACCCAAGGCACCAAGAAGCGAATTGATAAAAGAGCATGTTGTTAGACGATGATGTCAAGTTTATTGAGTCAAGTCATCCCGCAGTCCCCCTCCTTGCTTGCCTGTGTTAGCCTTCATAACTAACTCAGCGAAGTTGTGATTGTGATGATTAATTTGCTACAGAAGTTATTTTGAATGCATCAAAGGATCTTGATTAATATTAGCGATTAGTGAAGCTCTCTCTTTGAGTTTATGTTCGTGATGCTATGTTGTGCCATTCAAACATGGTCACGTCCACACTCGAAAACACATCACAGGACACTCCTCCGATGGTTAATGCTGTCGTTACAATGACAAAGCGATTTGGGAACTCAAAACACTTTCAAAGGTAAATGATGTTATTATGCCTCTAAAAAACATTGCAAGATTTAGTCGACAAGTTGAAATATAATACAGTACATTACATTACAAAGCCACACAAGAACTACCAAGTTGAACTGGATGCCTGTCGTTTGACCGGTTCCATATAAACTCATGAAGATGATTGATCGAGATCAGCAACTTCTTTATTGACCGAGATGTTTGGATTGAAGACGAAGAAGCCCGATGTCTTATGCCCAGAATTCGGCACATGGAACTACCCTAATGACAACTAACTTGATAACCTCTATAAAGTTTGTGTAGATTTTCCAGGAAATCTGAATTGGATGGATGCTTAGATGACTTGGATGAATGATCTGATAAAAATTTCGAAGCTTACGGAGATCTGAAAGCTTCGCCAGCATAACGCACATTGCCGAGTTCCTCTTCAATACGCAGAAGCTGCATCCAAATCAAAACACAGATAAAGAGAAAATTTCAGTCACTCTTCAATTCTAATGCTTTGTACACATTAAGGAAAACAAGTCATAAGTTGATGGTTTTGGGGGAATGGAATCGTTCCAGTTTTTACCTGATTGTACTTGGCCAACCGCTCACTCCGGCAGGGAGCTCCGGTCTTGATCTATACGGAACAAAATGAAATCCGTCAACTTCGTGTACAAATGAAGTCGAATAATCGAGAGCATAGTTATAACTTAGGGATTAGCCAACAAACCTGTCCACTGGCCAAACCAACGGAAAGATCAGCGATAAAGTTATCTTCAGTTTCTCCACTCCGGTGGCTAACCATGACACCCCAACCTGCAGCCTTCGCGTCGAGTGCTGCCTGAATAGATTCAGTTATTGTGCCAATCTGGTTGACCTGCAATTCAGAGGAAGAAGATGAGCTCGATCAAGATACTCAAATCACAAGGTTGTCACCATTTAACAGAAAACAATTGCGATTAAAAATGCTTGCCTTTAGAAGTAAACCATTGCATGCCTTCTTCTGAATGGCTTCAGCAATTTTTGTTGGATTTGTGACCAACAAGTCATCTCCGACGAGTTGGATATCAACAGAGGACTGAAGTGAAGACCACGAGCTCCAATCGTCTTGGTCGAATGGATCTTCAATAGACACAATCGGGAATTCCTTAATGAACTCCTTGTACAGCTCGCCAAGGTTCGGAGGAGAGAGCACATGGGCTCCGTCATTTGGTTGTTTCTTAAAGTTGAGATCGTATTTCCCTTCTTTAGTGAGAAATTCTGAGGCTGCAACATCCATTCCGATTTTGATCTGCATCATTGACATTGCTGTGAGTCCACATAACACATTACTATAAGTTCATTTGCAAGAGAAAAAGGATGCCAACGCCTACTATGGTCCTACCTTTCCGGTGTAACCAGCCTTTTCGATAGCATCAATGAGCAAAACCAGTCCCTCCCTGTTATCCTGCACATTGGGAGCAAACCCTCCTTCATCTCCAACATTGCAAGCATCCTGTCCATATTTCGCCTTGATAATTCCCTTCAGTGTATGGTAAACTGTTCCGTGCAAATACAAAAAACGCTGAAAACTCACTAATCGATAACAAGTCAAGCGTTCATAGGCCGGAAATGAATAACAAATCTGACTAACCTTCACTACCCATGCGGAGTGCCTCAGCGAACGAGGATGCACCCACGGGCAAGATCATAAACTCCTGCATTGCCAGATTATTTCCAGCATGGCTGCCTCCATTGATCACATTGAAAGCAGGGACTGGCATAACGAGCTCCTTTATTCCCGACACTTCCTGGATGTGCCTGTACAATGGCACTCCCTTTGCTCCTGCTCCCGCTCTACACACGCTCAGAGATACTCCCAAAATGGCATTGGCCCCCAGTTTCGACTTGTTTGGGGTTCCATCGATTTCCAGCATAAGTGCATCGACCTCATTTTGATTTCTTGGAAAAATGAAACAAAGAGCAAAAATTTCAGAACTTCACACAACAAATACGCCTCAACAATTCATATAAACATAATCAAACAGCTTCTGGAATGGCTAAAACTGCTTTCAGGCAGCCAAAAATGCTTCAGACACCATTTGAAAGGACAAATCCTTGTGCTTTCTTGAAAAGCACTTGAATTTTTAGTGAAGATTCCGACATGCTTCTAACAAAATCACTTCGAGCAAGAGCACTTACGAGTATAAGTGCTTACGATAGAAGTCCCCGATGGATTTGGATCCTCTCCTGAGCTAATGGAGAGATCCTCCTGACCAATCATCGTGGGCCATTAGATTTTTATCCAACGGTTACAATCATTATAATTTTAAACGAACCTTCTATCTGTGGACATTGAATTTGATTGGTCAGGAGGATCCTCTCTATTAGCGAGAGGAGAGGATCCAAATCCGTCCCCGATGGGCTTCCTAACGGTCCCTTAGTAAACTTTTCTTTAACTTTACCAAAATTAGTGAACTTTTTCTAACATCCATTGCTGAACTATTACTAACTAGAATTAAGAAATGGATTAACTATAAGAGTGATTAAACAAAAATGATTAAGCTTAATTAACCTGACATCGACGCCAATGAGCTTGGGTCCCAAAATCTCATTGATATTCTTCACAGCAGTGAGCACACCTTTCCCGCCGTAGACCGCCTTGTCACCGTCCCTGAGCTCCAACGCCTCGTAGATTCCGGTAGAAGCGCCACTGGGCACGGCCGATCGATACAGATCGTCAGTGACCAGATCAACCTCGACGGTCGGATTGCCCCTGCTATCAATGATCTGCCTCGCCTTCACCGACTTGACCTTGTACTCCTTGGCGACCTTGGAGGCCGCGGTGGGGGCGACGGCGACTGAGCATTGGACGGAGCCTGAACGACGCCGGGCCGGGCAGGGGACCGCGGTGGGGAGCTGCTGGGGTCTGGGTTGGTGTTTGGAGGAGAGGAAGGGGTTTTGGGGGAGGTTGGTGGTGGGCTGGGTAGCTAGAGCCATGTTTAAATTGGAGAGAGAGAGAGAGAGACTTTTAGAGAGAGAAAAGTGTTTGGAGGGTGAGAAAGTTTTGGTGGGAGAGATTTAAAGTGGTGAGAAAGTGTGGGAAAATCCGTCGAGGAGGCGATGAATATAATGTATGTGGGTTGGTTGGTTGGTTGGTGGTGTCGTTTGGACGTTGAGACGGAAGCAGCCAGCTTGGAGGAGGGGAAGGTAGAGGGCTGTGCGTCACGTGCGTGCTGCGTGGGTTCTGATCTGAGGTGGCATGCGGGGCCCGTTTAACTACTTTAAATATTTTGGGTCCCGCTCAACTTAAATTTGGACTTTTGAGCCCAAGCCGAAAAAGAAGTTGGTAAGGCATTGATCAGCTTATGGGCCACAACCCAATATAATGAGGGTAAAGTTGTAATTATCTATCTTTGAAACTAAGGATAAAATAAACAAAATTTCTCAAATAGAAAAATACTTTATCTGCTGCCTCGAGAGAAACTTACATAAAATGAGTTGTGTACTCTAGATTTTTTACTAACCCTTGCTCTCTTTTCACCCCCGATAACCCAAGTTCCAAATGCAATAGAGGAAACTCTAACAACCAGTGGCGGATGTACATTGGGATCAAGGTAATCCCAGATTTCCAAGATCATCCGGAGTACGAGAGATATATATGTAAAGGTCTTCCGATGACCTTTTGAATGTTTGGTACATGTCACTTTTGTTGTTGTTGCTTCGTGCTCTATTTCTATTAAAAACTTGAACCTCTAATACTGAGGCTCCCAATAGTCGAATCCTGACAACGCCACCTAATGTACAAAAATTTCTATTGCAAACAAAAATTTACTTTCATTTATGCATAGAAAATAATTATGTAAAAAATATTTGAAATCTCCACGTTGGTTCACGTCGCACTATCAAACCGTCTCCCTCTAAACTGCAGGCGTTTCACTACGTGCCTGACTCAGTTTTACACATCCTTTTCAAAATTTGGACTCCCAGGGTTAACCGCAACGGTAAACACGACGTGTCCTATTTTTCGTCTCGACACGTGTTGCCTCCACTTTCGAAAACGCGCAAACGGACTCGATGCAACGTGAGAATCCCAAATCCGTAAATAATTCGAAAACCGAGTCCCATTGGGAGACACCCATTCAAAATTAAAAAACCAAAAATTGCAACCGTTTACGTCGTATTAAACTCCTATAAAACAGTTACTTAAACAGATAAGCATGCACACAAAAAACGAGTCCTCCTTTCCCTTGCCTCTGCCTCTCTTCGTTTCTCATTGTTTGTTTTCAGTTTTCAAAAGAAACAAGCACCGTCGAATCGAGAATTAGGGTTTCTTGTTTTCTATCATTTCGTTTTTAGTTTTCAGAATACCATTACCAACAATGTTTCGCGTAAGCAACGCGGTGGTGGGGATCTTGAACTTCCTCTTCCTTCTCCTCGGCCTCGCCTCCATCGGGGCCGGGATCTACTTCCAAATCCACGGCGGCACCCACTGCCAAAAAGTTCTCCAAACTCCGCTCATCATCGGCGGCATCTTCTTCTGCGTGGTGTCCCTTCTAGGGCTCATCGGCTCCTGCTGCCGACTCAACTCTCTCCTCTACATCTACTTAATCGTTGTCTTCGTGGTCATCATCGGGCTCATCGTGTTCACCGTGTTCGCCATTCTCGTGACGAACAAGGGGATAGGGCAGGTGGTTTCCGGGAGAGGGTACAAGGAGTACAAGAGCGGAGACTTCTCGCACTGGATGCAGCATTACGTGGTGAATGATAAGAACTGGGGTCCCATCAAGAGTTGCTTGATCGATGCGCAGATTTGCAAGAGTCTTGGCGGCGACGTTCATGAATCCCAGGCCGACTTCTACAAGAAAAACTTGTCTCCTATACAGGTTAGTTATTTTTCTCGATTTTTAATTTTAATTTATTAATTAACTTAATTATTTAATTATATAATTTTGGGTCTGATTCAATACGTATATATACACTTGTATATTCTCGACCAAAAAAAAATATATCAGTAGTGTCACTGGGTCACTATTGAAGTTAATTAGATTAGTGATTGTTTTGGTGAATACGCTCTGTAATTATATAGAATTTAGAGTAAAGTTGCCTATCATTTGTCAAAAAATAATTAGAGTACAAAATTGTTACAAAATGTTTATTAATTAATCACCATTTTGTTTTTGGATTTGTTTATTTATTTTGGTTGATTACTCCAAAATTAACTCAATAAATTATTATAGAGTTCGAGTCCGACCATATAATCAAATAAATGAGTGACTAATTTTTTTTATTTTTTTAATGTTTTTGCTTCACATATATTATCAATTTAAAAGTCGTGATTTGCATTTATTTTAGTAACACAACGACAATAGCGTACGTCGTTTGTTGAATGAAAAAATTAATTTGGATTTTGGTTTACATTTTGGACTGCATGCACTGTTAGGGTTTGAGCGTCTACGTTGCGTTACGTACTGATGTGTTATTAATCAATGATTTTTGCTCATAAAATTTGGACTAACTAATCAAATGTTTATACGATGATCAGTCTGGTTGCTGCAAGCCGCCGTCCTACTGCGGATTCGAGTACAAGAACGCGACGTTCTGGGAAGTTCCTAAAAAAGGCCGGCAGTCGGAGACAGCGACTGCAAAACGTGGAGCAACGAGCAGAAGAAGCTGTGCTACGAGTGCGAGTCGTGCAAGGGAGGGGTGCTGGCAAACATCAGGAAGCAGTGGAGGAACTTGGCCATATTTAACGGGTGTGTTATTGTATTGGTGATTCTCATCTACTGCGTCGGCTGCTGTGCTACCAAGAACAATCGCTTCAGTACTTACAACAAATTTAGAGGCGGCGCTTGATTTGATTAGCCTAATTATGATAGATAATCCATCCAGCTGTAGTATTAGTTCATACTAAGATGTTGTTTATCATCGTGTAGGATTGATCCTAGCTATCTAGGTGCGTGTAGTGCTGTTGTTTACATTGGTTTTAAGTACTTATTTGATTAGTTAATTACTTAATTAGTACATGCTTGGTTTGTTCACGTGAAAGAGTCTTTTAATTTGATGCATACGCCAAAAAGAGAAATCAATGATGGATATGGGTAAGGGGTAAAATGCAAACTTCACCCTTTTATCGGTGAAATATAGAAAAATAAATAAAAAATAAATTTTCGTTGAATGCAATCGATATCGATATATCTATTGATATTTCTATAAATTTGCATACCAATATGCAGTTAAACGAACAACACACATTCCTTGGTTGTTGGGGACGTGCAATCTTTATCCCTATAGTTCAAGGGTGAGAGAGTCCCTTATATTGGCATGAGAACTCATGTTATTGATGTTATCGACACCGTCCGTTTTTATGTGGCAACCATTTTGACGCTATCCACACCGTCTATTTTCTTTATGGCTGATGATAATGGGTTTCTCTCTCCAAATTAAACCAAATCTGCCCATATTGGAGCCCAATATAACAAGACCCGGCCCAGTAGGCTATTTACGTCTTGAATCGCGGCTTTCCCTTTCTCGGATGAAATAGAGATGGAAGTTGGATACTGGATAAACGGGTTTATCCTCAAAAGTGAACCGCATCTCTCACACACGATGCCAATTGACGAAAAATTGGGTCAAATATAGCGTTAGGGAGTAAATTGAAGTGGCAGACTTGTAATTCATTAAAACGAAACATACAAGCTTTGGCTCAGTTCACAACTATCAGAAAAATGTGAATTCTAAACGAAGGAAACCTGACAAAATAATTTGAGTTCTACTACTTGAGGAAGGTACAAGCAAGAAACAAGAACAGATATACCACGAGTGAGGTTGCAAGTTCGAGGGTCCAAGTCGGGTGTAACAGCATTGATGGAATATTTGGGACCAAAACCGAACCGCATACCCAACCAGTGACGAGAGCTCCAAGTCTGCAATAGGGGAAAGGTGTAAGTAACGAGAAGAGTGGGGGAAGAAGGCAAGATAACTATGGCTACTGTCCAAACTTACCCAAAAATGGAAGCTCTGGCCAAGCTCTTTGTCTTCTCGTTGAGGAAATAGATGCAAGCTGCCAAGGATACCGCCACCTGCAGTAACAAATATTTCGATTGATTGCAAGTTCCCAAAAAAGGGGCACCAACAGCGTAATCTATTTTCTGAGTACTTATATGCAAATAATAGTGTTTTAATCAAATATCAACAACGAGGAAGGGTGCATTTAATAGTATGAATCTATGATAGAAAAGCATGGAAAGATGGAGATACGGGAGAAAAACGACATAAAGATACCAATGTTGGATTCAGCAAAAGAAGGTAGGCATTTGCTGTGTACGTCGAGAAAGGTCTATCTAAAGTCTAATTGTGTCAGCAAGGCATGCTTCACAAAGAGACTGCCACAATGCCACTACCATATTCTATTCCAAACCGTTGGCGCTCATCATATGATGAATGCAACTCAATCAAAGATATCATCCACATTGTGAACAAACGAAGATGTTTCATGAAAGGCTTAAAGGATCTAAGAATAGCAAAGCAAAAAAATAAACAATGTCTAACTAGAGAGTAAAGTTCTGCCCCAAACTTGCACAAATCAGTCACAAAAAAACAAGTTTTAAATCGACGCTTCCAATAAGGAATGCACTAAGGACAAGCCAATATTAGCCTACACATTCAATTATTATGACCGAAGGTTTCACTTGGATAACAGAAAATGATAAAAATGGCATCAGGTGTGATTAAAAGATAAAAGGCCATTCGAGCATTGTCAATCACTACAGAAAATTTGGAACAAACCTGAAATGCAGGTCCACCTTCAGCTGAGTTCATGATACTCCAGCCACCCATGAACGCAAAGAGGAACAATCTTCTAAAGATAACTTCAACAGGTGGAACTTCCACAAAATTGAGCAAGTTCTTAACCCATGGCGGAGACTCTTCAACTTTCTTTTTTAACTTGCTCTTCAAATTAATTTTTGTTTTCTTCCTCTGCCGGAAGCTGGTCATCAGGATTTTCTCAAAAGCAGCTTCAATTGATTCTTCGCTTCTTTCATGTCCAGCATACTGTTGTAAGAGAAAATTGCGCGATCCCCAAATTTCTTCCTCAGACGCATCATAGGTCACACCAAGACGTTTATACGGATCCCAAACACTGATTCTAGGGAATTTTGGAGCATTACCTACAGAGGCAACAAAAATGGGAAATGAGCAAAGGGGAGCCGTCTACTTATCCAGGAGGAACTCTCAAGGCAGATATATTAAACCACTAAGCACTGGTACTACATATCCAACGTAAGTTTGTGGCTTTCGATGGACACACAACTACTTGAAGCTCGCGTTTTAATCATTCACCACATAGCACAATGGATAGCTGCCAATTCATCCGATGGACGACAAAGAGCAAAGTGACACACACAACTACTTGAATTTCGATGCTCACAAAAACTTTGCTTGCCAATTGCCATCAACTAAATTTGAACTAGCAGAAGCAAAAGTTTGTGTCTTTTATCCTTACTACAAAAGACGGTTTAGATCGTTAAAATACATTACAAAGTTGGCACCACAAAAATGTGTCCAAGTTGTGTAAAAAAAATTGGTGCCACGAATCTGCCCCAACCTACAATCTAAATTCTAAGTCTTAGGCAACAAATGAATAACAAAAATTCCCCAAATTACAATAAAAAGAGCTAAAAACTTTCACTTGGAGAAAGATTGAAATGAACTTTACCTCCATAAGACGTATCAGCAGCAGCAGCACATCTAGGAGCTCGTACAGCGGAACAACAAGTTCGCAGCTTCTTCGAATTTTCGAGAAATTTACTGCAAGAAAATAGACAAATCAATAGATATAATAACATATATACACATATCAACAGAGAGGAAAGAGAGAGAGAGAGAGAGAGAGAGAGAGAGAGAGAGAGAAGAGAGAGAGTACAGTTTGGGGCCGAGGAAAGTGGTGGTGAAATTGGGGGAGGAGACGGAGAGGGAGGCCATGATTTTTGTTTCTCGGGGAAGTCTGCGAACGGAGAAAACCCTAATCCGAATGGTGGTTTGACGTCATGGAAACAGCCTCCGAAGCTGCAACTGAAACGGGCTTTTGGTGGTGGCTGGGGATGGAAGAGGAATAACGATATCCGCTGCCTTGTGTATTTCAACAGGGAAAGCCGACCCCTACTACCTTGTATTACTAAGCGCAGTGCGCACCCCTTGTTTGGCTTATTACATCAACGCCCTCGAATCTCAATTTTAGTCTCACGATACTCTTGTAATTAAAAATGTGTCACTTAATCACTTAGTACCACGGTCTAGTGGTATTCCTCTTCACTTGTAAGTGAGAGATTTTAAGTTCGATTATAGTTAGAGACGAATTTGAACCCTAATATCGATTGTTAAAAAAATATATATATGTGTCACTTAATACCTAAAAATCAGCTTGCGTCTCACTTTACCTTATAAATCTTGATTTCAATGCGTTGACGTCCACTATGAATCTTGATTTCGATGGCAATAAAACTTTGAGGCGCTTCAATTTCAAGAATGATCCAAACACGCTAGATCCAGAAAGGCACTTCAAAATGCATTACTTATCACATCATCAAATTATTTTCGTTACGCACTTCAAAATAGTATTCAAAGAATTATTAAATATCATCGTCTGTATTAAAATTATTACACGCTCGGATTGATTTATATCTCATATGATTAAAAGTATTTTTCTTGCGCCCAAAGTTCTGAGTTTAATTCATCTTCATCAATATCGTTTGTAAAAAAGAAACTAGAATATATAGAGGTCAGAATTGAATTACAAAATAGACCAACTAACATCGATCAAAGAAAAACACAAGAAATGATTTAGAAGCTACTCAGTCGGATCCAGGAAGAAGTCGACCAGACTCTGCGGATGTGCTGGTTGTGCCAAAACGTCTAGCCGCTGCTGGGACGACTCTTGATGGCGAAAGGACCTCGGCGAAAGATAAATTGTACGAATCTGCGTCTAAACGGCTCCGTAACCATCCCTTGCTTCCTGAGAACCCATCTGCTACTGTCCAACAGTTCTTAAAGCCTATAGACTAGTGAGTGCTCTTGCAACTATTCTTCCTAATCCGAGTACCTATTTACGCGAAACAAAAACAAGAACAAAAGTAATGTCGTAATTTAGCTACTTAATATGATCCGGTAGTAAATTTTAAGAGTTGGGGCTTAATACGAAAGAACTCACGAGTCCAGCATCATGATGCTGGAGCCTTTGTTAACTCTCTTGAGGTAAGAATTCTTGAGAGCTGCTATCTCTGCCTCTACTTTCTTCGCGTTTCTGACGAGGCCTCTCAATTTGCTCCGTAGTTCTTCCAAACTGGATAGAAAAACTATTAGAGGCGAAGAAGAGTTCATAAATGGGATGCAGAAAAGGTACAAATTAGAGGGTTGAGGATGCCGGGGAGAAGTTACTCACGGAATGGCAATCATTTTGCTTTTGGCGCTCGATGGTAGGCGGGGAATGCCAGCCTTGTCCTTGTCCTTCTCTGGTCCAATATCAATCAGAAGGTAATTCTTTGTTGATATAAGCAGGAGTAAGCGACCCTAGAGTTAGTACAACACAAAACCATAGCATATTTAGTCCATCTGAACCAAAACTTGCAATCTCAATCCGCTTTATATCTTCTAAATGTAAGTACTCGAATTTGAAACTGATCGATATGGTGCATAAGTGCAGGTTCTACAGGCTATTTCAAGCAGGAGATATCACTGTTTATTGTTGTTTCAAATATGTGCACCCTTTTACAGACATGAAGCAATTCCATTTCGTAATAAGCTTATATACCTTGATAACCACGGAGGCTAAAAGAGAGGGCAGACCAAATGGGAGGAAGAAGGAGGTATGCGAGGAATAAAGCTCCAGCAGTTCCC